TCCCATCTTCCCCACCTTGCCGTGCTCCTTCTTCATGTGCGCCACGTACTCGTCGCGCTCGGGGAACCACGAGTGGCAGATGCCGCAGCTCCATCCGCTGCCCTTGGCTTTGCCGCCCGCTTTGCGCGCCAGGCGGCTGCGCTTGGCCCTGCGGAGCTCCGGCGAGCTCGGMGCCTCCTCCTCCTCCTCCTCCTCCGAGGATGACGATGACACCTCCGAGTTGCGGCCGAGCGGAGGCTCCAGCGGCTCCGGCGGCTCCGCTTTGGGCGTCAGCAGCGCCGGCGGCTTCACCGCGGAGTCGTCCTTGCACTTCTGCGGCTGGTGTGTGTTCTGGGGGAGAAATGATTTGGGAAGGGGGAATTTGGGATTTGGGAAGGGGGAATTTAGGGATTTGGGAAGGGGAAATTTTGGGATTTGGCAGGCAAAATATGGGATTTGGGAGGGGAAAGTTTGGGATTTGGAAAGGGGGAATTTGGGGATTTGGGAAGCAAAATTTAGGGATTTGGGAAGGGAAAATTTGGGATATGGCGTATGGGATGTGGGAAGGGGAAATTGGGGATTTCGCAGGCAAAATTTGGGGATTTGGGAGGCAAAATCTGGGGATTTGGGAGGCGGTTTGGGATCCAGGAAAGGGCAAAGTTGGGGTCTGGGATTTGGGAAGGGGAAGTTTGGGGATTTGGGAAGGGGGAATTTGGGATTTGGGAGGTGGTTTGGGATTTGGGAAGGGGAAATTTTGGGATTTGGGAAGGGGAAATTTTGGGATTTGGGAGGGGGAATTTGGGATTTGGCAGGCAAAATTTTGGGACTTGGCAGGCAAAGTTTGGGGATTTGGGAGGTGGTTTGGCATTTGGGAAGGGGAAAGTTGGGGTTTGGGGGTTTGAAGGTTTGGGAAAAGTAAATTTGCGATTTGGGAAGGGGAAGTTTGGGATTTGGGATGACGGGTTTGGGCTTCCGAAATTCTGGCATTCCCGGTGGGGATTTCACCATTCCCAGTTGGAATTTCACCATTCCCAGTTGGAATTTCACCATTCCCAGTTGGAATTCCCCCATTCCCAGTTGGAATTCCATCATTCCAGGTTGCAATTTCACCATTCCCAGTTGGAATTTCACCATTCCCAGTTGGAATTTCACCATTTCCAGGTTGCAATTTCACCATTCCTGGCTGGGATTTTCACCATTTCCAGTGGGAATGTCACCATTCCCAGTTGGAATTCCATCATTCCAGGTTGCAATTTCACCATTCCCAGTTGGAATTCCCCCGTTCTCAGTTGGAATTATGGCATTCCCAGTTGGAATTCCATCATTCCCGTTTGGAATGGCAGCTGACCTTGAGGTGCTCGAGCATGGTGCGTTTCTGGGCGAAGAGCAGCGGGCACTGCGGGCACTTGAAGACGCTGACGCGCTGCGGGAGGAGGT